TTGCAGTGTATATATACATATTTATTCATTTATTCACTATTTATTGATTTATTCTATATTGTAAGAGCATTGAGATATTATGTAATGCGCTAGAATAAAATTATTATTATTATTTCGTTTGTGAATCCCATTCCCAGTGTATAAAATCCCATAGTTTCCAGCCCAAAAAAAGACATATCTCAGCTCCCATTTTACCCCTTCAAGACCATCGTAAGATCACCATCCGTTAAATCATCCCAAATTTATGATGAAAAAAAAAACACACTTGGAGAATAATTTTTAAAAATCACAACCACTTTTCGTGATCTTTAAATTTATGTTTAAATGGAAAATCAAATGGCTGAAGTAAATGTACATCGAGTTTTTACATTTTGTTCGTTGTCATGGAAACCGTATACGGCTATACACGATTGGCTTTTGATTGGCAGTACAATAATTAGCGCTAATTGATTGTATATTACTATATTCATCTGGAAGAAAGCGGATTATTCGGTCTGTGCCTCTGTTATTCCCTCATTCGAGGGCTCCTATACTAGTAATATGGAGCAAAAAGCAACTCCTCAAGAAGCAATGATAAATGAGCAATTTACAACCTCATTCGAGACTGATTTACCTCGTGACGCAGGAAAGGTGGTCAAACAACCGAATGATTGTTTCGCACAGGGCGCCGATAAAAATCAAACCAAACATCTAAATGAATTTGTCGTTAACGACGATAACAAGCAAATCAAAGAGAAAAGTATGGATTCCGCGCAAGAAACTAGTTTTCAGTTAAGTGTTTCAGAAGCAAATCAAGAAAATCGGGAGGATAACATTGTGGCTGGAGAGACATCAGAGCCCCATGAAATAACTATGGCAATCAAAACGCTAACCCCAAGGAAAGCCAAGAAGAGGGGTATATTTGTGAGCTATTCTCCCAATGCAAGCTACGAGGAGAAGAGGTTTATTTGCTATACGGTGAAAGAACTTAAAAATCTCGGTTATGCAGATGACATTTGGTTCGATAAAGACGAAGGGGTAATAGAGAGCCCCGCGAGCTTGCAACAGCGATTGGAAATAGTCGAGAAATGTCGCGCAGCGTTAGTTTTCCTTTCCACTTCATATCTTAATTGTAAGTCTTGTAAGCACGAGAGCACAGTCCTTTTTAGAAGAAACGAAGAATCAATCAGTACCGATTTGTCTGATGATCATCCTCGTCCCGTTAGGTTGTTTTGCATTAACTATGATGTAGTTCACGTCCCTCCTAACTTCTGCAAGCTGGAGGACATTGTCTTCTTGAACTCAGAGGCTTTGGCTTTTGCCAGTGTTGCTGAAAAATCTTCAGCTGTCGTGGGAGCATTTAGCGAAGAATTAGAAAAATACGCATTGTTGTTTGGCGCCAGTGCTTCCGCCTTAAGCGAACACGAGGGAAATTTCAGAGCGAAAAAAGTTTATTCTTGGGACGTTGATGACGTCCAGGAATGGCTAGCCTCTCTGCAAGTTCACCAGAGGTTCGGATTATCATTTGAGGAAAACCAAATTGATGGGTTTCTGCTACTTTCTCTAAGCGAGAGCGACTTACAGAACCATTTGATGATCGAAAGTAAGGTTGTGCGTCGAAAGCTTCTGCAGCATTTGAAGGGTATCCTCAAGAAGGAAAACCTCGAGAAGGACCGCTGGTTCGTGAAACTCCGGAAAACAAAGACAAAAAGTGAATCAGTTTACATAATCTATGATCCTACCGACATGAAATTCACAGATCGATTGAGAAAAGAGCTTGTGAAGAAAGGTTTACAGGTGAGCCGGGGTCTTTTTGTTATTAATATGGTGAAGCATTCATAGTTTACTTATTTAGCATCATCTTCATAGCAACAGACTACATCTACAAACTTTAATACAGTAAGGGAGCATTATTCCAAATGGTGCCAGAATTTCAAACCATATTGTAATCGTGCCATCTAAAAAGCAATTTATTTAATAGACAATAAAGTACACAATTTGAAAGGATTTCAAAAGAAAACCCCAAATACAATGCAACGAAAGTGCTATCTTTTGATAAATTTCATTCAAGCGATCAAAACCGTACATATTTCATGTTTATCGTTTGTGAGGTTAAATAGTGTATTTAGAATAAATTAACGTGACATTGGAAAACTGGAAATGGAATGAAGTGAGTTGTGGAACCATTTCCACTGTCTTTTGAGGAAGCTCGCTACTTCTTTTTAGGTAAAAAAGAATGTTACTAATGTTCAACTTTTTTGAACTATGTACTTGGTATTGCTACAGCAGTCTTTTCAAATAAGCATACATTATAAGGGCTACTAAGCTCAGCCTTTTTCATAGAATTTTTTTTCTTCTCCTTTCAGTCTTACTAATAGGATAGTACATCAATTGCAAGTGCAATTTTTTAAATCGAAGTCAATAAAAGTACCAAGCATTTTTATTAGAAATGTAAAAATATTATATATAGAAAAATATATATGTATATATTTGTAGATTTGAATTTCAAGTTGCTTATCATTAACTTTAAGCTCCATCTGATCTAGATATCAGCATTTAAGGTGGCTCGACTTCATTTCAACCAAAGTTACCACAGCAACAGTGACGTCATGGTGTTTTTCATACTATGGCATGACTCTATCTTTGCACAAGTATAAGAGCATGGGCTTTAATTTCTGTTGTACATTAACTTTTACAAATATTTACTTTTCTATCTTCCTATCTTCAGGTTCACCTGCAAAAATCAACATCCCTAATTTTTCTAATTTGGCAAATATTGAATGAAGCACCAATATATTTATTGTTATATTATGCTTATACTGACAGGTATTCCATCATGAGAGGCTAGGACAATCAAAAGAGGAATTCCTTCAGCTAAATGGTGCTCAATTAGCAGCAGCCAGTCAAGTTGTTCTCATCATGTCTAGTGAATCAGCCACTTCATTGTTTGTCTATAATGAGCTACAATTTGCAGCATGGCTAGATAAGCCATGCATTGTTGCTATGGTGAAGAACTCTTGGAGCAAAATGAGGCTGAACATGCAAGCACTTTTAGGGAGTTTTCCAGCAGTGGATTTTGAGACTCAACCATTTCATGAGAGTCTTGATGTGCTACTTTATCATGTAAAGCCTTTACGGAATATGCCTGCTGTGATCCTTGAACAAGAATTCTTAGATCGCATGGTGGATGGCATTAAACCACTACAAGTATTAGTGAACAATACAAGTATGTTACAGTGTTTTTAATTTATTTCTTTCACTCTTAAAATATATACTGTATATTATTCATGATAGGGGCAGATTGAGGGAGCTAAGGCAAATCAATCAAGCCTTAGCAAGGAATTTTGCAGAAAACATGGCAGGTAGCCAAATTTAAACTTTATCAATGGGTCTTATGCAGCAGCCATGTTTATTCTCATGAGAATAATAATAACCTTTGTTTAACCTATACAAATTTAATCTCAAGCACTTGAATGCAAAACTATGTGTGAGAAAATCTATTGTTCCATTCAACATGGCTGATTGAGAAAATCTATTGTTCCAGTAAACATGGCATTGTTCAGTCAATTTTTTGGGAAAACCAATTGTTCTAGTCAACATTACTGCTGCATGAGAAAAGCCCATAAGCATGTCTGCCCCTATTTCTGTTTCTTGAGAACACCTTTTCCAGCCAGTGCATATACACTGTAGGATGTTTCCAAGGGCTGAAAAGCCAGTAAATAGCTTCCATATTAGATTCCCAATTCCCCCTGGACCCCCCGGACCTGGACCAAGTTGGACCCACCCCTGCCCAAATCCCTGTAGTGTGCATTCCATATCATATGCTGATCCTTTTTTAATTTCTAAATAGGTAGTTCCATTGAAGCACCACTCCCATCTTCCCAATCAAAAATCTTTTTAAGTTACCATTGGGATGTCCAATCTAAAGTTGAGCGACTCGTTCAGTATCTTGACAGTCAAGGATTTGAATGCCAGACAGATGTAAATGCTGTTTCAAAGAGATCATCACTCACTCCTAAATCACCTCTGGGTATTGGTAACGAAAACTTGCAGTCTCAGGTTCAGCGAAACATGAAGTCATCCTATGTTGTACTATGCTGTGTAACTCAAAAGTATATTTGCTCTGAAAATTGCTCAAATGACTTGAGCCTTGCAGATTCTTTGTCCAAACCAATCATCCCACTGATGTTTCAGTGGATGTCCTGGCCTCCAGAGGGTGTTGCCATAAAGGCACGGAAAATCCTAGCACCTCTACATTATATTGACTTAAGCAATGAAAAATTATTCAAGAAAAACTTGCACTCAGTTGTTTTACAATTAAACAAGCAACTGAGTGTTAGGAGTCCAAGAGATGGTAAAAGGGACAGAAACAAATAGAAAGTTTTAAGAGATAATTTGTTGTACAATAATAATTAACGATTAAGTCTTATTAACCTAAGCTTACCTAAGAATTAAGTCTACAGTACATCATTTAGATGGAATAAATATGTTGCTTTTCCTTCATGGAAGCTAAGCTTAAAGATTCGTGAAGTCTTTACTAGGAAAGGGCTAGTCTAGGTTTTAGGGATCGTACTACTAAAAGAGAATTACGCGTGACCAACGCCTTACCTCTAGTTCCTTGCTGATTTGAACCATCACTTGGTCATATTATTCATCTCTTGCATCTTATTTATACGAAACATGAAGAACCTTTCCTCAAAAATAGCCCCAAATATAACAACGATAGCCAGCAACGCATATCCCATCGATCTCTGTGAAAAAGCTAATTTCGCGCCAAAACGCTCAATTTAGGGCATTTCCATTGGTCAATAATTTTTGCCGCGCTTTTTCACGCGGCTGCGTCAGAAAGGTTTGAATTTGCATTCATATTATAATTTATTTAGATTCCTTTTCACTATCTTATAATTTTTATTTCAATTGAGTTCTACTATCTAGCTCTTTAGTTCCTTTTTACCCTGGCCGTACCTAGCAAAAGAAGAACCGTGCGCGAACTTGCAAATCTTCCAATAAGTTTAGATGATCCTCCGGATGTCGTAAGCCAACTGTAAGCCAAAAAAAGTGCAGCCATTGGTCGACCGTTGACATAAAAATCAAAACACATCCTGTAGCTTTCACAAAAGCAGAACTGCAAAAGTGCTTAAGTTTTGAAATGTTTTAGCGCTATGCCTTTGAATGTAAGAAATTGTTTTAGACACGAAGTGGATGGTGGATGGGCATGGATCGTGTGTGCTGCTTCTTTTGTTATTCAGTTCGTTGTGTTTGGGATAATTCAGTCGTACGGCATTATTTTCATCGCACTTCTGGATGAATTCAAGTCTGGAGAATATGAAACCGGTAAGAAATTTTGTATTACAAATCTTCATTGGAATACTACGTTGCTTTAAACAGTTTAAATTGTAGGTATTTTAGCTCATTTTTGGATGCAAACGAAACCTTACTATGCATCTTCATCTACAGATTTCCTAAGACAGAACCCTCATTTTTTCGGGACGAAGCAAAGTTCTTGCTTTCATATAAAAAAAGACTTTTTCATGTAGTTTTAACATTTCCAGGCATAATCTAGTTTAAAGTTGAATGAAAATGCTATATATATTTAAGGCTACTTAGTCTCAGCATCGATAAAAGAATAATTATCATAGTTTGGAGAGATTTGAAGGTTTGTATGAAAATGAATTCGTTGGTAGGCAAGAGATGACCCAAACTTCATAGTTTTCAGTATAAATTTTAACATGCAATTTCTCTCTTTAGTAATTAATTTCCTGCCTTACTATTAGTTATTATTTTCCTAATGGAATAAGTTTCTGTTCTGTTGAACAAAAATATCGATTCTTTTTTCAGTTTTTTCCCGGCCCGTGAAATTAAAAGCACTTCTTTTTTAATCTTTAGCTTGGATTGGATCTCTGGCTTATGGTATGCAATTTCTAATTGCACCAATCACAACCACATTGTGCGAACATTTTGGATGCAGAAAGATGGTGTTCTTTGGAACTGGAATTTCGATGTTGGCACTGTTTGCTTCCTCTTTTTCACCAAATATATCAATGTTATACTTCACATTTGGAATTCTCTGGGGTATTGGCGCAAGTTTCACCTACTTTCCCTGCATACTTGTCCTTCGCTTTTACTTTTCGGAACGAATCTCTCTAGCAAATGGCATTTCCATGTCCGGGGCAGGGATTGGTACCATCGTAATTAATGTTGTTCTGAATCGAGTCATTCAGGATTATGGCTGGAGAGTGGGACTACGAATGCTCGGTGGAATAGTTACTTTTATGTTTGTCTGTGGGAGTGTCTATCTTCCGCCACCTCCAGATTTTTACGCTATCCGTGAATGGACAAACTATAAGAAGGTAGGGGCTAATTAGCACCTGTATTAGTATTCAATCATTTTAATGATTTTTTTCTTCTATCATATATTCAATCATTTTAATCAGTTCTTTAGCTATTCATATATCTATAAAAAAAGACCACCTTTCAAGTCCCAAAGCCCTCTTCGGTACCCCCTTCGATCCCCAACATTTTTATCCCCCCTATTCTCGGCATATTAAATGACTTTCCCTTAGCCAGAAAGCACAAATATTACGTTTAGTCTCAGATCTCCGACCGACGTTTTTTTAAATAGATGTGTTATATCAAAATGTATAGTCTAGCCCCCAAAGCTAGGAATAAAACTTTCCTACCAATGCCTTCAAATAATATTTGCTTTTTAATTCTCAGGTGAAATTTACAGCCAAGCTTTCACGTATACTAGATGTTCGTCCTTGGAAACAGAAGGCATTTGTTGTCTATGTATTGGGCATTTCACTTGTGCTGTTTGGATACGTTGTTCCTTATGTGCTTCTGGTGAGTGGGCTGTTTTATTATATGTCGCTTTTTCTTTATGTTAACGGGGGCAGATCCAGGATTTTTAAGAGGGGGTGACGGTTATAGGATACCTCGCGCCATTACCACAGGAAACCAATAAAAAGCGGGAAAATTATGTAAATACTTCGTCTCAAATTGACGGGAATGAAATTTGAAAGCTTCAAGTAAACTGTAAAAGCTTTTCCAGATAACATGTTTTCAGTGTATTAAGAAAGGTACGTTTTTTTATTAAGGGGAGGGGCTGTGGGGCTTCAAAAGGGAGAGTCATCAGTAAATAATTTGTGCAAGGAGTTGGGGGGGGGGGGTGACTGGTCACCACCTCACCACCCCTGGATCCGCCCCTGTTTAATTTGCAGTTTTCTCTGCCTGTTCTATTATCTTCAGGTTCGTTATGGTGAAACCCTTGGAGTTCCCTCGTCACAAGGTGCTCTGTTAGTTGGATACATGTCAATTTCAAATATAATTGCTAAACTTTGCTGTGGACGCCTAGCTGACATGAAAATAATTAAACGGTTGATCATCATGGAGTTATCAATCCTCGGTTTTGCAATTTGCAACTTGGCAGTTACAGCAGCCAAAGGCTACAACGGCCTTTTAGCCTACGCTCTCTGCATTGGATTCTTTGATGGATTCTTTGTTGTCGTGCTACCTATTCTAATCTGTGACATTGTTGGTAAAGACTTAATGGCTACTGCTATAGGGGGCTTCTACGGAGTCGTTGCTACACCAATGATGTTGGGCCCTCCTATATTTGGTAAGTAATGTTCAGTCAGATAAACGACCAGTAACCTTTTTTTTCACAGGACCACGGTGCCATGAAATTAGCATAACATTTGCTACGAAGAAAATAAACTCGACTAGACTTTTCAACATCAAGATGCAAGAATTCTTTCCCTTGCAAGCCATATGATATATATAATATGATTGATGCTAGTAGGGAATTGATCAGAATTTTTAACTGATTTCAACCCTTATGCGAAATCATAGAACATTGGGAGGATGCCTCACCTGAAAATGTTTTTTTTTTGTAAAATTTCAACAGGACAGTTATACGATGCATTTAACTCCTACGACGCCGCCTTTTTTGTAGCTTCCTCTTTGATGATTTTTGGAGCATCAATGATGTATGTGGTATATAGATTGAAACCAGAGTTGATAAAAACAGAATTGCAATTTCCCACGGAGCTTGAGATTGATGCAGAAGATATGTTCACTAGCAACTTGTTTGCGTGCCCCAGTATCCATTCACATACCGTTGATGCATTGAGTGGGATGTTCATGTCCGAACGATACTCTATGGCCAATCTTGACAGACCAAGCCAGATAACGTTTAACCCTCTCTATAATTTAAGCTACGGCACCAAAAGCAGAGCAGCATCTTCTGCTAGTCGACAAACATACTTTCCTTCTTTTGCTACCCTGACCGATGATCGCAGCGAAGGACGATCTGAAATTCTTTTGCAAAGGCTCCGTGGGTTCTCGACCGCAACTGAAACTGGATCACCGCGTCTGAATGAACTGAATGAACGTAATGATGTTACAAGGGCGCAAAATATTGATGATGGATTTTCAACTTCTACTCCCAAGGAGTTAAGCCTTGACAACCTGTTTATTAGGGAGAAATCAGAAGCCGCTTTGGTTGAAACAACAAGTTTTCCTCAAAACATTGGAACTCCTGACGTTAAGAATGAAGTCGAAACCACAGGACAAGATGTTGACACAGGGGAACAAAGCTGCGTCGATAAAATCACGCCTTTAGAAGATAATGCAAGTACTGCGACATTAGTAAACCTCGATGACCAGTCAGAATCACAAACCAATAATAAGGATATAGAAGAAAGTGAAATATCCTTTCTTGAACTCGACAATCGGACGAATATCAATCAAACGAAAGAAAGTAATGATCTGCAAACAATAGTCTTGCAATCTGGTGCAAATCAACTTCAAGTACAAGATCCTTGTGCAAATGGAGTAGATAAAGTACCAGTGAGACTTGGTGTCTCAAACGTTGAGGGATTGCAGCATTCTTTACCCGTCATTCCCGAAGGCATAGAAGCAGATCCAGTTAATCTACAGAATGAAGAACTCTACAATGAAGAAAGCCTACTTACCGATCTTTCTACAACTACAGAAACTCCTTCGACTAACCTTGAAACCCCCACAGATGTCGATCCTATGGTCGAGACAGCAACCCTGGTGGAAATCGATGATGCTAATCTAGATGACAGTGATACTATAGTTCCTGAGGACACGGACGTGTCTTCGGAAACGGTTAAAAATTAAGGGTTTGAGCCAGAATTTGGACAAAACGTTGCAGAAAATTATGAAGACGATGTATTAATAAAGCTTCCTCCACCACCGAACGTTATACGAAAGAATCAAGAAAAGAGTCCCAGTCCCCTTGTGGATCTCGAAGAAGACAAAGAAGATTTGCAGGAACTAGATGATCAGAACATTCTAGTTAACATTTTAGAAGAAGTAAACGAAATTGGAAGAGAAGTTGAAAATATTCAGTCAACAAACTATGCCGGCGACAGAAATAAGATCAGCGTAAGACCTCATCCAGCTGCTGTTCAAGGAGAAATATTTGCCCAAGGAAATACCGAGGAGCTTATGAGTGCAAATTTTAGCGAAGCTCAAGATTTCAGCACACCAGTCACGACCGAAGTGGTTAACTCAACACATTTTGACTTATTAAGTAGGAGATTGGAAGCAGTGGCTGCCGAGCAGATGAAAGGAGAATTTATATCCAGATTTCCGACAGACGAAATGACGCTCTTTGCAGCTAGTCGTAGCATGGCCCAAACTCCTTTTGAGAATCAAGGTACACCAGTTTATCAAAATATAACTTGTTCATCACAACAATCAAAAAATCCGAGTGCTCAACGAACGCCAGGGGATACCATCTGTAGCGCAGCTTTTGACTTACAGCCAGATGGGACTTCTTGTATGCGTGCAACAGGCCCGATCCCCATCGACGCACCAATTCAAGATCTGATCACATCAAACTCCACAGGGACTTGTCAACAACCCTCACATATCCCTCCCTTGCCCGAGAGACCACCAGAACCATTGTTAAGCCCCATTTGTAGACCTGAAGTAACTGACTACCAAGAAAGCACAAAGGGATTGGAAAGTAACCAGGAAAACGACATAATTAAAATACCGCCTCCTCCAGACTTCGAAAGACGCCGCCCGTCAATCTTTGATATACAGGAAGCAGCAACAATACAGGTTCAAAGCCAGGATAGTTTGGAATCAGATGCAGTTAATAACTGTTTTGAAATGGAAGATAGGCCAAGAGGTTTCTTTGATCTAGAGAATTCTAAAGATGATACATATCAAGCCCCTGGTAGTGTTCAATCACCGTTCCGTTCTTCGAAAGTCGATAAAGAAGAAGACATGACGAATAATGTGTCTTCTTTAGTTCCCAGAGAAGATATGGTATCACCAGTATTTGTAGAATCGTACACAGATGAAACAGGTGCTGATCAAATCGAAAGTGCACAGGAATTCTATACACCAGCCTCTAACATAGATAAGGATTCAATACGTCTTCATCTATTAAGTGAGAGGGTAGAAGACGTTGCAAACAAACAGTTACAAGGAGAATCAACGATGAGACTCCTAAAAGATGATATGACACTTTTTGCGCCAAGTCGCAGCATGAATCCTAATCCATTTGATAGTCAAGGAACGCCTACAACTGAAAGTGAAGCACTTACGTCGATACAACCAGTAACAACAGCAAGTATCATCACAGATGAAACCTCAAACGTTTGTTCGACAAATCCTTTTGAGATGACAGCACAAAACGGTCACTGGCCTAGCAGTCCCTCGTCAAATGCCGCTTTGCAATCAGAAGTCATATCTGGAAACCCAGAAAATCAACTTCTGAGTTCTGACGTTGTGAACGCTGGAAGTAATTTGGTTACTCAACATCAGCATGGACAGAATGTACAGAAAACTTTTGAGGATGCTAACATCAGCATGCCGGCGAACAGTCTTTTGGACAACGAGAGGCCTAGCATGCCGTCTAATCCATTTATTTCTCCAGTTCAAGTACTTGCGTGTATTAAAAACGATAAAACCGACTTGCTGCCTGCCCAAGGACATCCTGAAAAATCCCATCCAATAAGCGTACCTTTGAGGCCTGAAAGGAAAAGATCTAGCAGAAAATCTTTAACGATTGAAGACGGCTTAGAATGTTCTTTGTCTGGTAGCAGTAACAGTATGGTACACGTTTTCGAAATAGAACTTGATGAAGACTTAAAAGACAGAGGGAGTGTGACGGGAAATCTCGCGCCAACAACTAATCAAGTTGCTCAATTTGAAAACTTTAATGTTGGTTCTTCCACTAATCCATTTATTGTTGAAATGCAAGAACGTTTTCCTTTGGATGAAAGTTTTCAAACGAAAGACTGCCAAAAATTTCAACGACCTACTGTTAATAAAATAGTACCTTTAGCAGATGGAGACTCGTCATCTCAGTTTGACACAAGGGATCATTTCGACCAGGATCAGGATGATACTCATTTTGCAATACATGACATAGCACCAAGAGAATTGCCAGCAGAGAAGGAATTAGATGAAATAACTAGCATAAAGAAAATAAAATCCATATCGAACTTAGAAAACAAAGATCAGAATAAAGACGTTTGTGGAGAGGAAGGTTATAAGGAAACCGCCAGCAATTACTCGTGGTCAGCGGCAAACTGTAACGAATCTCAGGAATGCTTTTCTACGGCCACCAATAAAGAGGACGACTACAAAGGATCTCAATTTGAATTTCTGGATAAAGAGATAGCTAATCAGCTAGTATCTCTTATTAAAGAGAATATAGATAGCTATCCAGAAGATGAACTGGTCAGCGGTTGCATTGATGGGAAAGAATCCTGATGCTTTTATGTCAAAGCAAAACGACTAAGCATGGAAATACTTTGGTGGCACGTGACTTATCTGATCTGCAAGAAGTCTACGATCGTAAGTGACGCTTTTCATGGTCTAATTTGGTAGGGTGCATACCATATATCCGTGAAAAAGGTAACTAACGAAATTGTAAAAATTAGTATAAAGTTTGGTAAGTCTGCGGTCTACTGAGGTTTACTGAACTTAATAATTTGTGCAAATTCTTACAAAGGTTTTCATGGATCAGGGCGAAAGGAGCCCCCTTCTTCCGCCTTGCATGGATGTATGTATGCACTCTAACGCGCGTTCGCCGTTTTTCAAGGAGAACCACTGATTTGAAAGAAAAATATTTAATTAACAAATAAAATAGCTTTTTCCGTGCACCGTTCAGTAATAAAGCACTTAGGGAGTGACGTAAGCACGAAAGAAGTGTAATGAGAAGCATGAGCCGTAGGCGAGTCCTTCTCACACTTCTTGAGTCACGGCACTGTCAGACCAATAGCAATGCACGAGAAAAAAATCAGTCAATTTTAAGTCTATGAAATATCACGGTCACAGCACGACACGGCACGTCATGCTTAGGGAAACGAGCTTTTCAGTAATGCGAAAACTTGCTCTATTTTATAAGCAGATTAAGTATCACGTTTTTCCCCCCCGCAAACGGCAGACATAAACACGTTAGCATCGTTTTCTCTGCATTTGATTTTATCTTTCGTAAAGACAAATGTTTTTTTATCTAGTATCTATAACTTGGAGACTTTTTTTAGATTCTCTTTACTAATTCTAATTCTAAAGCCTTTCTTGCTTGTCAACTGACGTTTCACGTTCGCCATGCAGCGCCTTATTGTGCCAGCCATTTTGATTTTGTTTGCCGATTTCAAAGGCTTATTATAGTGTGACTGACTATAGCGATAGAAAGACTTGGGATGGAAATGTCACAATTTTACAACAAAAATGTCTAGAGCAAATTGATAGGTTAATTGAATTCTACGGTGTCCGAGAGGATTCACTCAAAGTCTAAATGTCGCACTGCAAAAATTGATGAAATGGTAACACGCCAGGGAAAAACTGACGAGCTCTTCTCATTGCAAATTTCTCTGCAAATTTCTCCCTCGCTACGCCCCTGAAACCAACGCTGAACCTACACACATTTAATCTTCACTGCTAGGTCATTACTGCTATTTTCATAAACATGCGAACTCACTAGCTGTGGGCTGCACGCTGAAATTTGGCTTTTGCTCCCGGTTGCCGTTAATCAAAACTAATCAGTCGGTGCCTTTCATATTTTTGATTGACGGCACCAAAAACAAAAACAACAACAACAACAACAACAAAAAAAACAACAACAAAAAAAAAACAACAAAAAAACAAACAACAACAAAATTTCAGCGTGCAGCTCGCAGCTAGAGAGTTCGGATGTTTATGAAAATAAGCAGTCGAAGTGACTGAAGCGATCAGAAATTTTCGAAGAGCAACTTTTTAGTTTTTTGGTAGCATGTCTCCATTTTCAACAGTACGTACAGTTTTTGCAGCCTGGCATTTCAACGGACTTATAAGACCTCTGGCACCCATAGAAATCGAATAATACATGTAACGTTTTCTTTGCCACATGCCAATTTAGTTTTTATCTAAAAACATATATTAAATTTTATCATACAATATAAAAATAGTAAAAAATAGTCGATCAAATTTAGATCAAACTTGTGATGTTTCCAGTGGTGTCCTCTGTTCTTGCAAACAAGAAATTTCGGTTCTAATTGGACCAATATTTTGCGGTTGCTGTCTTGAATTAAGTAACAGTGGAACAAGAAACATTACGCTAACTCCCAAGGTAGACAAACCACCAGAAATAAAGAATGCAATGCTGTATTCCCCGAAGATATCATAAATCAAACCTGCAAATATACGATATGCAACGCGGTTAATGACTTTTTAATAAAAAATCTTTATTTAAGTGTCTAGTCGTACTAGCGCTTTCACACTAATTGAACACACTTTTCACTCACACACACTACCACAATATTCAATATTCTATGCACACAACGCTCAACTCGTATGTTGATTTAGTTACGGACTTAGCATAGGAAAGAACAACACATCAAACAAACTCAATTCACGTGGCGAACCGACCCCGTTGGAATCACAGCGGTGAAAGACGACGCATAAGGAGCGTTCGCCACCCGTGCCACCATACTACTACTTCACAGTTAGACAAGTAGACCGAATGGTTTACGAGAGGTCTAATCGTTTTAGTCTATAAACCAACTAATCAGTCAGCAAAAGGATACAAACAATTTTGAAAATAATTCGAAAACGCGAGTTGGTGTTGTGTGTGAGGTATCTAACAGCCTTCAAAAGCGCGCGAGTCGCAAGAAAAACAGCCTCGCGTAACAAGATGTTTATTCGACCAGAGTTGAGATATCAACCCCATGCATACCTGCAAGAGGCGTTCCTACGGCTTGTACTAGTGCCACAATACAGCACACATTGCCGAATGCTCGAGGCATATCCTTATCACCTACGATCAGATGTGTTCCCATGCTAAACATCACTGCAAAGCAACCATCACAAATACCAAAGACAATCACGAATACCAAAAAACATGCGTAGTTATAGGCCAGTGGACACAGAGTTGTATTAACTGCACTAATGAGAGCAAATATCTGCAGAATGGTGATGCGGGAAGTCGCCTCGACGTCACCAACCTGGCCAAAGATAATCTTAGAAATAGCTTGACTGATAGCTATGTAGCCAATCAGAAGTGCGCTTTGAGGTTGGGGTATTCCTACGTCACTAGCCATGCGTACCTTAGAGAGGCAAAAGAAAGATATATTTGATCATGAATTGATATCTGAAGTTTCAGTTGGGTGTGCAGTTACATATGTGTGCAATATATGGCAAAGCTATAAAATGCTTACAGTCAAACCAACTCGTTCGTTCCTATCAAGGTTTGAAGATTCATTTTATTATTCGAAGTTTGATTTCCACCCTGCTTTGAAGCTTGCATTAATGGAACGAACGTTGCGAATTTGAATAATGGGCTCGGATTAAAAGTTTATTTAGTTCTTCACAGATTCGTGCAAAGCTAAAATTATTTTAACAATCAATGTAGCTACCATCTTAAAGTTATTTGTTTGGTGTGCAGTTTTGTTCAAAAAATCCTTTCACAAATGAACATTTTGATGTTTCGAGGCAAAGATTAAAATTTGCGACGTTCGTTTCATTACTGCAAGCCTCAAAGCAAAATGGAAATCAAACTTCCAATAATAAAACGAATCGTTGAACCTTGATAGGAACGCATGAGCTGGTTTGACTGTAAATGTCACTTTCGACTTACCAAAAATACAAAAGGGACGAAATAACCCGAGAGGATCAAACTCAAAGACAACGTCCATACAGATAAAGCCCTGCTTCTTGTAAACAATTCATAGTCAAAAAAAAGTTTTATCCCGTTCCGTGTAAATATAAGACAGCGTTTGTACCAGGATCTTCTACTAGTAAAAACGTTCACCACCTTTTTCCCCAATGGTTCTTTGGTCCCTTTAGGTAAACTTGAAGTAGGAATAGCAAAAATGCATCCACATAAGAATAAAACAATGCCTGAGCTAGAAAAGACTCGTAAAGAAAACCTCCAGCCGTGTTTCAATATTATCATACTCTGAAGCTTAGAGATGACTGGAAGTCCAAACCCTGCGCCCGCCATTGCTAAACCGTAAGCAAGGGACAAGCGTCTCTTGAAGTGATTATTCAAAGTGACAAGTGAGCTATAAAAACACATGCTCGTACCCACTCCCCAGCAGATTCCATAGGTAATAAACAGAAGACCGAAGTCTGTTACGAAGGAGGATGTTAAGAGGCTAACGCTGGCAAGACATGAACCTACTAACGCAACGGAATGACACCCGAAACGCTGGCAAAGCACAGTCATAATCGGACCAAGAAAGTACATTAATGTGAAAGCCAGCGTACCAAGCCAAGCTGAAAAGACAAACAGAAAAAAAATCAAACCGCCCTTTGGCGAACTCGTGGATACTAGTTGCACTTTCCAGATTGGGCTCCCAATCACCAAAGATCGAGTTTGTATACTGGTGTACCGACAATCTCAAAACCGTTCTAATGGAGCTTAAATTTACCAAACCACACTGAACTTTCAAACAACGGCACGAACAATAATTTCTTAGTTTTCAGGGTAAATTTCATGGCAATCTTTACGAAAATCCTTAATCCTGCGTTGATTCGGGAAGCGTGATTTTCGCATGTATTCAACAGGTTTCTATGCAGTCAGAATTAATTTCCCCAAATCAATCTTTAAAGTTTGAAAAGGTCTATTCTTCCTCAACTTGCAGCAAAAATATGATTTCAATCAGAGATCTTGCCCATAGTTAAATCTTCTTTTTCTTTTGAGGCAACTAATTAGCCTATGTAAACACGGGCTTCCTATTTTCCCTCGCCAGAAATTCGTGCCTTCCCAATGAGCTTTAAATCCAGTCCAATGAACGAAAATGGGTGATTCATTAAGAAGAAATGATTTTCACTCCTCTTGAGCGCCTCTTGCTTGGGCTTCTGTCGAACCCTTTCTGTGGCCGTTTTCTCGAAAATAAAATAATATTTTCGAAAACTAACTACGCAGGGATTCATATCTAATAATGGCTATCTAATTTAAAAGAAGAGCGAATTTGATTTTTTGACCCTTGCCACCATTTGTTCGATTCTTGTGGACATTTTTATCACCGGAAGGAAATTTCAGTTAGCATGACAGCTTATAAGTAGGATATTTCGTTACAATCAAAGCGTGTAGTCCACTTTGACCTTGTCAGTCCCTGTCTGTTGTGGACATTGCTTGTCTACCGTTTTTATATCAGAGGACAGAGACAACTAGCGCAAATTGTTCAAAAATACTTCATTAAGGTGGCTCGACCCCCTCACGCTTGACCGCTACCTTCCACTTTTGGAACGCTAGTGCATAAACGTCTTT